GGTGCCCTCTTCTGGCCTGTAGACATACACACAGACAGAATATTGTATACATAATAAATAAATATTTAAAAAACTGCATATGTCTGTTGTCCCAGTACTGGGGAGGCATAGGCAGGAAGACTGGCCCCCATTGTCCATGCAGTCTGGCTGAATTGGTGAACTCCAGGTCCAGTGAGAGACTGTCTCAAAAAATAAAACAAAGAGGGGCTGGAGGGATGGCTCAGCCACTGAGAGTACTTGACACCCTTTCAGAGGACCTGGGATTGATTCCTAGCACTTCATGGCAGTGTACAAACATCCCAAAACTCCATTTCCATCCTCTTCTGGCCTCTGCGGGAACAAAGCACACATGCAGTACATACATTGCACTTACATATATGCAGACAAAACATTCATACACGTAAACTAAAAATAAATAAATTAAAAAAAATAATGTGAAAAGAACATAGAATCTGATGTTCTTTCCCAGAAGACTGCTCGCATCCACTGACCTCTAACTCCACACACATGCAGATGTACATGTGTGCTCACACATGTGCGCACAGCCATATGAATGCACGCATGTCACATGCACACTTGCATGCACGCTCACACACATGGGAGGGGACTATTGTGAACTTGAATTCAGCTGGTCTACAGTGTGAGACTCTGCCTATGAAGAGGACTGGAAAGATTGTTTATGAGGAACTGAGTTTGATTCCCAGAATCCACATGTGTGTGGTTGTAAACCCAGTGCTGGGGATATAGAGACTCTGGGGTTCCTTGGCCAGTCAGCCTAGCATAGCTGGTGAGCTTCAGGCTAGTAAGAGACCATGACTCAGATCAGGTGGTGGTGCACACCTTTAATCCCAGCACTTGGGAGACAGAGGCAGGCAAATCTCTGTGAGTTCAAGGCCAGCCTGGTCAATGGTGTGAGGTCTATGACAGCCAAGGCTGTGAAGAGAAATCCTGTCTCAAAAAAAAAAGAACAAACAAAACAAGAGAGAAAGAGAGAGAGACCCTGACTCAAACAAAAACCTCCAGGTGTGGTGGCGCACACCTGTAATCCCAGCACTTGGGAGGCAGAGGCAGGCGGGTCTTTATAGGCTTGAGGTCAGCCTGATCTACAGAGGACAGTCAGAGTCCCATAAAAAACAAAAACCAAGATGCACAGCGACTGAGGACTGACATCTGAGGTTGACCTCTGGCTTCCATCCATATGGACACATACACACAGATGGGGAGAGAGAGGAAGGAGGAGGAGGAAGACTCAGAAGTCTCAGAGATGAAGCAATCTTATATTCAATTTTTATTAGAAACTCATTAAAGAAAATCTTCGTTTAAAAAAAGTATCCCGATCACTCTAGGTGGTGGGAGGTAGAGGCGTACTTACTTCAGCTGGGGTGGGGCTCCGCTGGAACTGCCTGTGGTAACTGCTGATCCAGACGATGCATGGCAGCTGGTTTCTTCACTGAGGAACTGGGGTTAGAGGTGAGAGTGGCCTCACTTACCAGGACCTAACTGTGAAGGGCAGCTCTGTGGGAGTCTGAATCTCCTCTATAGTCTCTCTTTCCTGTCGTGAGGAAAGGTACCCCCATCTACTGAGATATTTAAACACACATCTGAATACCTCCCCTCCCTGCCTTGGGTCAACCACCAATTCCTATTGACTCTTTCTTCCGAATCCCTTTATGTGGACTGCTCCTGTCTGCCACTGTCTGAGTCCAAGGACCCTTTCCCACCCTTCACTCCAGGCCCCTCTGCTCTTCACTCTGCTGCTCTAGGCACCCCGACTTTCCCATCACCCCTGGACCATAAGTATCCTCCTCCTGGGTTTCCCCTTCCTCTCCGAAATCCTGCCTCCATATTGTTCTATGAAAGCTAGTTCATCCCTTTGCTTGCTGGTCTGCCTCCTCCTCCTAAGCCAAGACCTCCAGTGGGCAGGAACCTCGGGCTTATTTACACATGAATTCATAGCAGCAAGGACAGCGGCAGGCATGTAGTAAAACACAGAAATATTTATCAAATAAATGAATGAATGGACAGCTGTAACCTAATGACACCCATGCTCCTGGCTCGGCAGCATCCTTAGTGTCCTCTCCAGAACAGCGAGGTGCCCTCAAATGCAACTGCCATTCTGTCATTCCTCTGTCCAAAGCCCTTTGGTGACAAGATGTTGACACCTGCTGAAGCAAGGCAAGTGTTGGCTTCATTATATGTGAGTGTCCTTTACATCCCAGAATATGTATGCTCAAGTTGTTTTAAAATCACGGGAACAAACAGAAGCCCTCCATCAAACTTTCAGAGCTCTCACCGTCCCAGGATAAAGTCACAGAACTCCTAGGTGTGCTTCTGAGGCCATTTGCAGACCAACCCCCACCGGTTAGCCTTGCTGGCTGTCCAATCACCTTCCACCCTGGCGGTACTCAGGAAACATTCCTGTTTCTCTGTTCCAGCGGCAGTCATGACTCCCTGGAACTGGTGTTTCTGTTTCCTTTGGTGATGACAGAACTGACTAGGCCACGTGTGTTTCCAGACACCAGTGTCCAGCAGGAGATCCCCCTCAAGTTACTCTAGGTGCATGGACCTCATTTGTCCTCTGTTCCTTGCTGCTCCTTTCTGGTTTCTTTCGCCTCCTTGCAGTTCAAAAGACAGGAGTCTAGGGCTGGAGAGATGGCTCAGAGGTTAAGAGCATTGGCTGCTCTTCCAGGGGTTCTGAGTTCAATTCTCAGCAGCTACATGGTGTCTCACAACCACCTATAATGAGATCTAGTGCCTTCTTCTGGCATGTGGACAGAACAGAACACTGTATACATAATAAATAAATCTTTAAAAAAAGATTCAGAGTGTAATGTCTTTGGTGACTAGAGCTCATCCTAGATGTCCTTTTAAACCTCATCTTAACTCAAACTTCCTGCATGTGGCTTTGTGCCCCACATCTCTGGCCGTGGGCAACAGCCAGGTCAGGAGGCCAGAACCGGGTCAGTGTTGAGAAGCAGCTTGGAAAGCAGAGTGGATGGGTAGCTTCCTATCTTTCTGCAGCAGTGAAATCTTCCCTTAGAGAGCACTATTTCCAGGGTTTCCCATAAACTCCCCAAGTAACACAGGCTATTGCATTGCTCCTGGCTGGCCACAAGAGCTTGACAGAAAGACCCTATTGTTGAAGACACCATCCACGTTAGTCACAGGACACGGAGAACTCAAGCTGGTGTTGACTAGGAAGCTGGTGTTGACTGGGGAGACCTTTCAGCCAGCTTCCATAGCACTCCTAGAAAGTGCTATGCAGGTTGCTGGGGGATGGTAATCATTGATATCTGTCTCCTGCAGTTGCGCCTCCTGTGAGTTACAGTAACAACAGACCTGGCAAAGCACCGCCAGGGGTGCAGTAGTGGCATAATGTCATGGGAACAACCAGCTGCCTCCTGGTCGGATTGAAGGGCCACTCCACCAGACGAAGCTCACACTTGGTACCGTAAATCTGACCGGGGATCCATAGCTTGGGAGCACACTGGCCTCAGGGTGAATCTACTGCAATTCTTATACTAAATGGCATAGTCTCTAGCTGCCTTCCAAATTCCCATCTCTGGACCCAGAGATCAGTGCAGCTCTCAGACATCATCAGAGCAGTCTCTGTGCAGTGGGTGGTGGTTAGCAGAAGCTCACAGCTGGTCGAAGGGTAGGAAGTGTCTGTGGAGTATTCAGTCACAAATGGGGCATCTAAATCATACTCCTTTCCCCCAAAGCTCAGGGTTCATTGTGGAAGAGGGACCAGAAAGATTCTAAGAGAGACTGGGGAGAACCAGAAAAACAAAAACAAAAGCAAGCAAGCAAACAAACAAAAAACAGTGTGCTTTAGACAGAATGGGACCATTGTATTCATGAACACAGCAGCTGCCAAGATTAATCAATATTCCAACATAGAGGCTCCTAAGCCACACCCCCAGCTGAGGAACTATATTGTCACTGGGTGACTTCTGGGGGAGAGGCCAGTTTTGTTTTCTTTTTCTTCTTCTTTTTGTTTGTTTTGTTTTTGTATGTTCATAACCTTGGAGCCTGTCCTTGAACGCACTCTGGAGACCAGGCTGGCCTCTAACTCCCAGAGATCCGTCAGCCTCTTCTGGGATTAAAGACAGTACACTGCCACCGCTCAGCAAGGCCAGTTTTCTTTAAGAGTGTGGCCCCCTGATAGGTCAACCATGCTCTAGTGGTTGGCCCCACCCTATGACTACATGGGTAACACACTTTAGACCCAGTGGGTTTAAAAAAAAAGGGATAGGAAGGAGTGGAGAGTGGAGGGGTGGGGAGTAGATCTAAGAGGAACTGGGGGAGAATATGATCATATCTATTGTATGCTCATTCACAAGGAATTAATAAAAATATATTCAGAAGAACACAATTTTTGTAGAGTCCCACAAGCAAAGCAATGACAGTGGAGTTCCTGGGGCTGGCTACCTTTCTGTGTCCCCACTGCTCTTCAGTCATCTCTGATGACTCCTTGGGTTAGTGAACGCTTGCATGAAAAGCACTAGGAAAAAGCTGGGTGCTGTGGCACGCTCCTGTAATCCCAGCGCCCGGGAGGCAGAGGCAAGAGGCAGGTGGATCTCTGAGTTCCAGGACAGCCAGGGTTACACAGAGAATTCCTGTCAGCACCACAGCAAATCAGTAAGGATGCTTTAAAACAAGGTTTATTTTTACGTCTGTGCGTTTTGCCTGATGCCCTCGGAGGGGAGAAGAGAACACTGAATCTTCTGGGACTGGAGTTACAGATGTTTGTGAATCTCCATGTTGATGATGATCATCCACCATCTCCCCCTCCCCCCCATCCTCTTTAAGATCAGCCAGTACTACTAACCGCTGAGCGGGTTCTGTAGGTCCTGCACATGCTTTCTTTCTTTTTTTTTTTAATTTATTTATTATGTATACAATATTCTGTCTGTGTGTATGGCTGCAGGCCAAAAGAGGGCACCAGATCCCAGATGGTTGTGAGCCACCATGTGGTTGCTGGGAATTGAACTCAGGAACTTTGGAAGAGCAGGCAATGCTCTTAACCTCTGAGCCATCTCCCCAGCCCCCTGCACTTGCTTTCTTAAAACCACATTTGCTGTTGCGTTTATACAGTGGCCTTTAAGTGACTTTCTCTTTTGTTTCACATGTATTTGTTGGGATTTTCCCCCCTCCCCATATCTCTTAGTGAAACGTCCCCTCCTGGCCTTCACCATTCTGGTCCGCCATGTTTTTATTCCCTTTCCCTGGTCCAGGTAGCTCCCTGGGAGCAGAGACTCCACCTTATTCCCCATCTCTTCTTCCACACCATGATGCCAGGGGCTTAGGCTGCCTGCAGGCAGGAGTCTGTCACCATAGAGGCCCCTGCCACCACACAGTCCCTCCAGCAGTCTCCTGGTCTGTCCAAGGTGAAGTTCTGTGGCATCAACCCCTCTTCCCGCACTCCTTTGCCCAGGTGACGGGGCTCCAAGGCTATTAGATAATTTTAATATCAGCCTAAGAAAGATTAATTAGGAAGGCACATTTTTAGTTTTTTTTTTTTTTCTCTTTTGAAACAGGGTTTCTCTGTGGCTTTGGAGCCTGTCCTGGAACTAGCTCTGTAGACCAGGCTGGTCTCGAACTCACAGAGATCCACCTGCCTCTGCCTCCCTAGTGCTGGGATTAAAGGCGTGCGCCACCACCGCCCGGCAAGGAAGGCACATTTTTAAAAGGTGCCATTAATCCCAGAGACAAATAAGAGAGACTGTGGATTATCTGTGTCACTGCAGCCTTCAGGTAGGGTATAGACTCGTGCAGATTTACTTTTGAGGCGTAGGCCTGTCTGAACACACTGAGTGTACTCCTTTCTGAGACAAGGGACAGGAAGAAGTGGAGTCTCTCTGAGGGAGCAGAAGAGACGTTCCGTGCGGGTGTCCTTTCCGGGCTGCCATGTAGCCCCTCAGGTAGCTTCTAGACTTTTTTCAGCTGCACACCCTTCACTCTTTCTCACCCTGTTTAATCTACCCGGGACGTTAGAGCACATCCCACTTAGGAACTTCTAAATGTGCCTGGGGAAAGGCCAAGCCCCTCAATGTAGCCCACAAGAACCCCGCAGTTGGGCCCCACATGGTCTGGCTGGTTTTCCTTCTCATTCAGGCTCTCGTGGCTGTCTCCCAAGCTCCTGTGACAAAGCAGAGTTTCTGGAAGTCTCAGGCTGAATGACACTTTGGGGGCTTTCCTGTTGACACTTACCTTCTTCTCTTTTAATGATCTGTATTCTTCTTCTCCTAACAGAGATGCCGAGCTCTTCAACGGTACTCTTGCATTTCATTTATTTATTTATTTTTTTGTCTCCTTTCCCCTTCCTTGACTTAAGCCAAGCGCCGCACCGGCTCTGCTACCAGAGACGATCGATAACTTGTTGAGAGAAATTCGTCAGTTCTGGCTTTCCAAGGTGATGACAGTGGGCTTTGCTTACTGAGACCCAAGCTCCCCCAGCCTCCACGGAGGAGTGATGGATCTAGCTAGGAATACCTGAGGGCTTGGCTGCTGTAACCCGGTCCCCTGGCTGCGGCTCTGTGGCAGGTGGCTTCAGGGGACAGAGCTGAGTTGGTGAATGACTCAACCTGAGACTGACAGCTGCTGCTCTCTGCCTCGGCTGATTTTCCCCTTTGCAAACGGTTATTGGCAATTGAAACCGCAAATCTACTTGCTGCTCCCCTACGTAAATTACATTTACATTTAAATTGTGTATTCTTCCCAAGAAGGAGGGGAGTAAATAAGAGGCAGATTAGGCTTGAGGAGAGGAAATTGTGCCCCATATCAAATCTGAGACTGAAGTGACATCTGGCTTTTACTATTTCCATTATTTTGGTTTAATAACAGCATGTGGCATTAAGGGAGGAGAAAATTGGATCTACATTTTAATAAAAGGAGGAAACTCAGGATTTAGATACCTTATCGAATTGAATACCTAGTCGATTGGCAATTAAACTCGCCTCAAAAATGGGATAAAATGTCGTCACAGCTTTGGAGAGAATGAAAACAAAACAAGCCAGTGCCCAGAACCACAAGGCTAAGACTGACAGGAAGGCTGGGCGCATTGGCACCAACTGTTTCAGGACTTCACCGGGCACGGGGATTCTCAGACGGAGCAGGGCTGACAATGGCACCATGCATATGCATGAGGGGGAGCTTCACGAGCATGGTCTGTCTGAAGACAAGCACACAAAACAGGGAGCTCACGCCAGAGATGGTGTCTGGAGTCGGCTGAGTTTAACCCTACGGGTTTCCAGTTCCGGGGGTCTGACCACGAACACGTCTCACAAACGTCTGTCTCCTTCCAACGGTCTCGCGGTTGAAAACGGAAGTGCTTCCACTTGCTGCCCGATTTTTGTTGAAAGCAATTTTGGGCCATGTAAACAAAATGCTTCCGCATCTTAATAAGTCAAGCCTATCGTTTATTTGCTTTCATTGAAACAAATGTGTCAATTTTCCAAGTCTTTGTCTGGTGAAGTCAGTGTTTGGATGTTGATAAATGATCACATCGTGTGTTTGGAAGCTGGGGCTCTATTCAGAACGTAGGAGTTGGGAGCACTCACGGTCTGGGAGCACTCAGACCGCCTTCCTAGCCGTCCACCCCAAGATGCTCCGCTCTTTCCCAGGGCCTGGAAAAGGCTGAAATTATAGGACTACAATTGAAGGGTAAAGGGGGTGGATCCTCCAGGCGGAAACTCTGAGGCCAGGGCTCAGAAATAATTAAAATAATGGAAACCCATAGGATTTCCTGGGTGCCAAGTACTTTATGTGTTTTAATTCACGAAGGCCTCATGCCCGTCTCATGGGGGAAAGTTCCAGCTGTCATTGGCACTGCAGATAAAGGGAGAACTCAGTCATATGCAGATGGTGAGGGATGGAGCTGGGGTTCGAGTCTAGACAGGCCGTTCCTCTGTTTTTTTTTTTTTTAAACCCTTTCAGATGGCTCCCTTTTCCCTGGAGTTTAAGGAGCACATTGTGTTTTCTCAGTTACATTTTGTCTCACATAATTGTTTTGAAAGCCACAGCAGTTTTGCTTGAAAGACTCCAGCTACTAGTATGACGGCTCTTTCCCTAAAATAAAGCAACAGTAAGACCTAGGTTTTGCAATGTAATGATATGGCTCAGCTGCCTTGTGGGGATCCGGAGAATGGAATGAGACATGAACGTGTTTTAAAGAGGTCTAAACCATGAGACTTCGGTACGCTCAGAACATACCCTCCATCCCCAGTCTTCCTTTTTCTTTCTTCTATTAAAAAAAAATCTATTGCACATGTATGTGTGATATGTTTGGACAGTCGCATGCCATAGTGTGGGTGTGGTGTGGAGGTTGGAGGATGGGCAATTTCCAGGTCTCCTAGGAATGGAAGTCAAGCCATTAGGCTTAGTGGCAAGTGACTTTACTTGTTGAGCCCTCTTGCCAGCCCTGATTCTTTTTTTTTATTCTTTTTAAAGTTTATTTATGTCTATATTTTTTAATGTTAAGAGTGCTCTGTCAGCATGTACACCTGCATGCCTCAAGGGGGCAGCAAATCCCTTTACAGATGGTTGTGAGTCACCGCTTGTGTTGCTGGGAATTGAGCACAGGACCTCTGGAAGAGCAGTGCTCTTAGCTGCTATGCCATCTCTCCAGCCCCTGTTTTTTGTTTGTTTTGTTTTTCAAGACAGGGTTTCTCTGTGTAGCCCTGGCTCTTTTGGAACTCACTCTGTAGACTAGGTTGACCTCGAATTCACAGAGGTCCGCCTGCCTCTGCCTCCCGAGTGCTGGGATTAAAGGCGTGCACCACCATAAAAATCCTTCACGTGGACCGATATCTCTTCCACTTTCTGGTTTCCCTGTGAGTCTTTTGATGGTGGCCCGGATGCTGGCATTTGCTTGACTTCTCGTTTCTCCTCCCATGTTTCTTGGCACCATTTAGTCACGTGCAGTTCCTTCCTCCTGTGCGCCATAGTGACTGTAGCCTCTTCAGATCTTGCGCCACGGCACTCCACCTCTGAAGCTAGCCAGTGCCTCCCTCTGTTTGAACTCAGCTTAAGTCCTTCACCTAATTTCCCCATCAGTGTTGCTGGGCCGGAGGGAGGTCGCTGATGTCACACTGTCAGTATTGTGATTACCCTCATATCTAACAGGCAAGGAAGGGACAGTTGTTCCTGGCAACCCTTGGGTGAGTCTCACACAGCTTAGGTAACCGACTCGCTGCCTGGCTGCATAGACTTCCCACAACCATGTGAAGGGGTGAGTGAATTCATCATCCGGTTGGGTCGCATTTGCATGTTTGTCTTCCATATGTGTGTCCCCTCTAGGCAATTGTTTAATGTCACTTGAAATTGATGGGAGCTCTTTGGAAGGTTATTTTTGGGAAGCCAGGGAAACAACAGACAGCTGTTCTCTGGAACAAATGTCGCCGGATGGCTTAAGTGTGCCTCCAATCCCAAATAAATGAATAAATAATAAAAAATAAATAAAAATCTGAGCTGTGAGCCACAGTGCCCTTTGTCTTTCTAGTGTTAGACTGATTTCTGGACACGGCTTCCCAAATGCATGGAGAAGGCAGAAACTAATGTTAACCAAGCCTGCGTTTGCGAAAAGAAGCATAGTTTGAATCACAGAATTACCCAAGCAAGCGTTCCTGAGCACTCTGTCTGTCATGGGTCACAGTTCCCTGGCTTTTTCTAGCTTGTTTACGATGGGCTTCCTAAGTGGACATTGATTGAGCACCAATAAAGGCAAAGCCGTTTCTAAAGTGGGGCGCTGTCTTTCCGTGCTGAGCGCCGAGATTGCTTTCCCTGAAATATTAAAATCCTTGAGACCTGTGAGAAACGAGCCAATATACGAGTCCCACATGGCAAAGCCAGAGAGAAGGCTCCTCAGATGAGTGACTCCACCCTCTCCACGTCACTCCGTGGGTGATGGGGTCCGTTTGGGGAGTGGGAATCAAGAGGTAAAGGGGATATAACTAATTGACTTGAGGCTGAACAGGTTTAGACAGATCAAGACTTCACAAACCTGTTCAATTCAATCTGCGTGGAGGATTGGGTGTTGACTTTTTCCAAATGCCAGTCCATGAGCCACAGTGCTTTCTAGCAGCTAATTAAAACCGAAAACACCGTTAGGCTGACAACATGACAGCCCTTGCCTACGGCCCCACATGGTGGAGGGAGAGAATCCATTTCATAAGATGTCCTCTGACCTCCAGCCGTGCGCTGTGGTACCCACCCATCTGCACAGGCACATTTGCACTTGTGCACAAAATGCATGTAAGAAGAAAATTTTGAATCCTTTAAAAACTGCGTCTCATTGTGCTCAGTGTTAAACTGCAGGAGGGAAAACCGACTGTTGCCAGCTTGCAGTCCTTGACTGCCCTGAGCTTCTGGTAGCCTCAGGAAAAGGAGGGCGCTGATAAATAACTTTCTCACTCACTGAACAAATCTCTCGCACCTCAGTCTTATTTAATTAACGGCTTATCTTCCGGGGCGGGCGCTGGAGTCCTGAGTAGAGTTCCAGGATGAAACTATTTTGCTCATTTTACCCAGGTAAGTTTTCTTACATTAGTTGAGTAAAAACATTAGAAATCACCAATCCCTAAGAACCTCAGGTAGAGTAGAAACCTCAAGTTTTGCCTGAAGACTGCCAATCCCAGCTGGACTCTCAGGCAGCGAGCAGAAGAGGCTATGTGTGCCTTAGCGCCTGCGCTGTGGTATTTACTGGTAACATTGTCTTAATGAATGTAATATTTTCCTGCTCCCAGGAGTCCGCTGTCAGAGAGGAGGCCAGCATCTATCAGTATGGTGGATGTGCAGTGTCTGAGTGACTGTGATCTGCACAAGCAACTGGAGAAGCTTGGATTTTCAGCGGGCCCAATACTGCGTACGTTTACAGTTCATGTTGGGGGGCATTCGTTTGACAAACTACATCCGAAGTCTAAATCAGAAAAGTAGAAGAAGGAGGGACATATGCAGTAAGAGGCACTAAAAATACATAGAGGAAAACAGGAAGCCATATGGAGGGGAGCTGGAACAGACAGCCCCAGGTCCTTACAGACTGGGAAATACAAGGCCAGGGAGGGAGATTTTTGTTTGTATTGTTTTGTTTTGTTTTTGTTTTTGTCGTTTCGTTTTGTTTCAACGCTGAAAATCTAATTATTTTATTAGTCACCTTGGGTTTTCGGATGTAGCCTGTATTTTAATTATCTCTATTCTCATGGACAACCATGTCCCGCTTGTTCTCAGATGTCTTCAGTACCCGGTTACTGATAATCTGTATCAGTATAAGATGTATCTGTATAAGATGTATCCAGTACCTGTTGGTATAATGAGAGCAGTGATTTGAGTGGCTGGGGGGGGGGGTCCACCTCATTGTTGAAAGCCATAATTAGGCAATAATGTCAGGTCCTAGAAGAAAGGCCTGGGTTAGAAAATAACTTTTGAACCCTGTGTATACAACACGGAACAGTTCAATTCTCCATGTTGTTTCTCAGCTTCCACCAGAAAAGCATACGAGAAAAAGTTGGTGCAATTGTTGGTCTCGCCTCCCTGTGAACAACCTGCCATGAAGAGACCCAAAAAACTGCACGGATCTGACCACAGCGATGGCAGTGAAGGTACCTGGCCGTGCTACTAGATGGCAGCTTCCCACTTATTAATACCCTGTCCAGCATGGCTTACACACCGTCAGTGCCGTGCGTGCTGACCTGTGAGATAGCCGTGTGGCCTCTTTCTGCATAGAGCTTATGGAATAACCCCTCAGGCTGCAGAACTCGAGCAGCAATGTCTCTTTCACACAGAAGACATGGCTGGATAAGATGCTGCGGGAAGGACTGGCCAGGGTGCACATCCTTTACTTAACTAGAGTGGGCTTATATATATGGATTCCTTAAAATTAGCTCATATATATAATGTCGGGGTTCCAGCCTCCTGTGAGGTCCTAAGATCCACTTTGTCTTAAATGGGCACATTTCACTATGATTTTTTTTTTGGATTAGGTGATTTCATGCCCAGAAAGAAGGATGAATCTTCTTGTATGTCTCTGAACTTCTCACGTACAAATTGCTGGCAGTAGTTTTGGAGAGAGTGAGTGGTTGGGAAGCTGTGGTCCCTGGAATCCCTTGCCTTGTCTTCCAGTGGCCTCGGTCCCAGCAGCGTGCTGTGCAAAGCAGCGTAAATCAGGCACCCACTGTAGTTCCTGTCCCTAGGGCTCTCAAAGGATGGCCTTGGGGGTCCCCACTGTATATCCCACAAACATTTCCCAAGAGTCCCCTATGAACCCAGAGAAACAGCACCTTATGTGGTCCACCCATGACTTCTGGCCTGGATGACCAAGCCCTTTAATCCTCACAACACTTAGCCGAAGTCAGAAAGCAGGAGTGATGTGATAGTTTGAAAGAAAAGGGTCCCCAGTGGGAGTGGCACTATTAGAGGTGTGGCCTTGTTTGAGGAAGTGTGTTACTGGGAGTGGGTGTTTAGGTCTCCTATGTTCAAGCTACGCCCAGTGACCACAGTTCACTTCCTGTTGCCTAAGAATAGACATAGAATTCTCAGCTCCTTCTCCAGCACCAGGTCCGCCCGCATGCCCCATGTTCTACCATGATGATAAGGAACTAAGCCTTTGAACTGTAAGCTAGTCCCAGTTAAATGGTTTCCGTTATAAGAGTTGCCGTGGTCATAGTGTCTCTTCACAGCGTCAGAGCACTGACTAAGACTCTGAGGAGTGTCCCTCAGAGATGAGCATATTCTGGGATGTGACGTGACAGCCAGACCACCGAGCTTCACCACCTCTCCCTGTCTAGCCACACATAGCAGGATTTCAATGCATGTTTGAGGGTTAAGAAGGCAGAACTGGCTGTGCTGGAGGTATAGCTCAATAAAGGGCACTTGCCTAGCGTGCACAAGGCCCTGAGGACCACCCAGGCTCACAAACACATGTACACTCACACATGCACGCACACACACTTGCACGCACACACGTACGTGCACACACACTCACACATAGTGATGGAACTGAGACTTGAACTCAGGACTGCTTCTTAAAACAGTGCTTTCTACATCAGCCTATACTAGAGGAACATGTTGTATTTTGGAGCATGTGTGATCTATACAAAAGGACAGTTCCCTACGCTTATTCACAGTTCAATGAAACAGGGCAAGTGCTCTCTGGGGAAAGAAACAATCTTGGTATTGGATGGAAACGGAGATTTCTGCAATGGTCACAACCAGTTCATCTGGAAAGTAACAGGATTTAAGGATCGACCTCACTGGACAGTAGGTGGCAGTGTACAAGCAACCATGGGACAAGTAGCCATCTCAGGCTGGGGTCTTGTCTGTTTCCCACCCTTGGAAGGAGCTTAGGGAGCTAGTCTATCCAACTGACGCTGCCCATGAAGTTAAAGCAAAGAGCTAAGCTCTGGCCAGCTCAAGCTAGTTTGAGCCAAGGGTCCCCTTCCCTCTGCCCCTGCAGCTCCAGGACACAGCATCCATAGACATGTCTTTCTGCTGGGACTGAAGAAATGAGTTTGACTATGTTCAGCTGGGTCCACCAAATGTCAACTTCCAGGTCAGAGGTGGAGTCTCTTACTTGTCTTGAAGCCCTGGCTTATCATCCACCAGTGCTTTCTTCAGTCACAAAACCGTCCTCCATGGGAGGCCTGAAACTGTTTATTTAAGGTCACTTTTTTTGTTTGTTTGTTTGTTTTGAGACAGGGTTTCTCTGTAGCTTTAGAGCCTGTCCTGGAACTAGGTGTTGTAGACCAGGCTGTCCTCGAATTCACAGAGATCCACCTGCCTCTGTCTTCCGAGAGCTGGGATTAAAGGCAGGCGTGTGCCACCATCGCCTGGCTTAAGGTCACTTTTGTCACCAGAAGCCATCTAGCGCCATTGGTATGGAGGGCTTAACCCGAGTTTTCCTGGGATTATCCTGTCTCAGCCTGGACCCAGAAGGTCACAAAAGCATCTGCTGGGGTGAGGGGTGGCACTGGGGGGAGGGGGCAATGGCAGGGAGCTCGTTAGGTCACACAAACAACCAGTGATTAAATTGTTCTCTTTTTCGTTCATTGTTGGAACAATGGGTGGGCTCAGCTTTAATTGTCCAACTTCGTTTTCTGAGGGAGCATGTGGGAGATAGGTTTTTAGTAGATAGTTCAAGGTCTAGAATTTGCTATATAGACCAGGATGGTCTTGGACTTGCAGTGATCCTCCTGCCTCAGCCTCACTAGTGATGGAATCATACCTGGCCACTTCTTAAATTTCTCAGTTGTCTCACTTGAAGTGCCCATGTTAGCCTGATGTGGTGGAGCAGGTCAGTAATCCCATCCCTTGGCAAACTCAGACAGGGGGCCTCGGCTGGGAGGTGGAGTCTGGAATAAACAGTGAAATCCTGCGTTAAAAAAGCGGAAGAAAAATAAAATGCCTCTACGAATAGCGAGACTGAATGCAACCAACACTGCATCCTCCTCACACCCCAAAGTGTCACTCTGGGAGGCCTGCTGCTGCTGACTGTCCCCTGTACTCAGAAAGCCACTGACTCACCCTCTTCAGGGTGCTGTTCCAGGAGGTGGAAAGCCCTTCCTATCCTGACATTCAGGCACACACAGCTCACAGCTGGTTTTCAGGGACAATGCTAGACTGAAAACCACCGCCCAGAGAGCAGCCTGCTAGCTTATGTCTCTCAGAGGCTTGCAAACATGACAGCCAGCCGCGTCCCCCAGGAGGCCTGAGCATGTTTCCCTCGGCTCCTGCAGCTCTGGAGGAAAGCTCTTTTCTCCATAAAGGACACTGTGGATTCTCTTCCGCTGGTGAAAGCACCCCATGGCTGAGAAAAAAAAATCCACTTAGTCTTTATTTCTTCTGCTATCTTGTATGTTCTCATAGCCTGTTTTCCTTTTGCTTCCCCAGATCCAGCGGTAAATATCGTTTTGAAAGGAAATTTCAATTTCTCGAAAGACAAAGGCAAGGAATGCAAAAATGTATGTGCAATTCTAATGCATGAATACTTCTATACATGTGTAAAGTATATGTAATTCTAATGCATGAATACTTCTACATATATGTGAAGTATGTACAAATCTAATGCATGAATACTTCTACACATATGTAAAGTATGTACAATTCTAATGCACGAATACTTCTACACATATATTAAACATAGAATTTGCATTTTTAGATATATAAAGAAGCTCACTGTATTTTGTTAGAGTCCGTAAGTCCTAGTCTAAAGCTGATCTTTTAATGAAAAAATTCTGCCTTTCGAAATGTTTTTTTGTTTTAGCCAAGAACCCAGTATCAATGCTCCTTTTGCCCCCTTGTGAAAGAGCCACCATGGGCTCTGCCAGCCTCACACTTCACCTGTGCCCTTCCCATACTGAACTCGGTTCTAGGCCCCCGTGAACCCAGGATAGATGTGATCTCTAGTCTCCTCCCCCACCACAGAGACCGGAGGCCAAGCATGTGGACCTGGCTGTCTTAGGTGCCCTGCCCACTGCTTGCTTGTGGCATGCTTTGGGGAAACCAGTCAGCTGCATCCAGTGACTCCGCCTGCCAGGTGGTTGTCAGGAGAAAGCAGACCTGGGCCATCCGCACCTAGCACAGCATGGAACTGTACTCACTGAGGAACCCTCACCCTGGCTTCTTCTGCTGCCCTCTGTCTCTTACTATTTTGGTACCTCTGCTTTTTTATTTCTCAGCTTTGCCACTCCGAGGTTTTTCATCCTGACTATTGTCTTTTTTTTTTTTTAAGATTTATTTATTTATTTATTATGCATACAATGTTCTGCTGGCATGTACAGGCCAGAAGAGGGCACCAGATCTCATTACAGATGATTGTGAGCCACCATGTGGGTGCTGAGAGTTGAACTCAGGATCTCTGAAAGAACAGCCACTGCTCTTAACCTCTGAGCCATCTCTCCAGCCCCCTGACTATAGTGTTGCTCTCTTTTGCTTGAGGCCTCTAGCTCCACCCTCTCCTATCTTTATGGGATCCCTTGTCACCTCCTCCTGTGATAACTCCTCCAAGACCCTCCTCAGGCTCTGGCCTGTGTCAGGTTGGTTGATCTGGTCTCTAAACCTCCCTCCTTCCTGCGTCTGCTCGACAAACGATCCCTCACAATCAGGAGTGTTTGGCAGGCTGGAGGGATGTGTTCATACCTTGTGACATGGCCATTCCCCTGCGGCTGCACAGGATAGACGTGAGGAGCAAACACATTCGCACTCCCATCCAGCTGCACAGGAGGCCTCTGCTTAACCTTGCCATCCCTGTCCAGGCTTAAGGTCCCAGACCTCTGTGGAATGTCCTTTTCTCATAGCTTCTTATATATAGCAGTTTCCAAATTCTAGAGATTAGAATCTTGTTTTTAAAAGAACGTATTACAGGCAGGGCCAGGTAGTTCCTACCTTTAATCTCAGTACTCAGGAGGCTGAAGCCTGAGGACGGTGAGCTCCTTGCTAGTCTGGGCTACACAACAAGACCCCATCTCAAAAACCCAACCAACCAACCAGCCAGCCAGCCACCTAGCCAGCCAACCTAGAAAAACCTGGGGCTGCACATGAAACTCAGAAGTGAACAATGACTAGCGTATACCAGCCCTGGGATTCATCCCTGACCTCCACCATGTGGGAACCCCTCTTCCTCTGCTCATTGCTCTCCATCTCCACCTGTATTGTTACTGTTTTATTTGAACAATTGTGAAATCTCCCGAAGTGGTTTCTGGTCCTGACTCCCCCCCACCCCCACCCCGTCCCAGTGCAGATCTACCATCAACCATTGGAGGCTCAGTCAGTAACACCACTCACTTGCTCTGCTCACCCTACCCCCGACACTTGGGTACTTCCTGTAGCTTTTTATCCCTGTCACCTAGTGGATGCACCTGGTGTATTTCCTGCCACATCTCCTGAGCCTCTTGCCAGCTGGTCCTTGTGCCTGGAGTTCTTTTCATTCTTCTCATGCCCTGCTCTTTCTCTCCCCTGTTAAGATCCTGTGGTTTGGGGAGAGGTTTCAAAGGCTGCTTGCTCGTGTGAATCCCTTTGAAATGACACTTCACCCCCTTCATTAGCTGAGCCATCACAGGGCCCTGCACCTGACAGGAGCCTGGAGTGTGCTCACTAAGCCTATCACACAGTTTTAGCAACACACAGGCTAGCTGCAATTGGATTCTGGTATTTAAACTACCTGCAGAATTTAAATAAATGAAAAGAAACCCCAGGTAAACGCGACTAGAGCGGCAGGCCTCCCATTCAGAAGCGGTTCAGATTTGATGAAGCGATTCTGAGCAAGCACGGCCTTTTCTGAAAGGATTTTTTAAAACGTCTAAATGGCTCACTAAAGGAATCCTTCCTATTCACCAAACCCCAGTTTCTCAGAAAACCCTTTTGTCTAGATCTTACGAAGAGGCTTGCAGCAGAAAAAGCAGCCTTCTTACTTAAAACACCTAAGAGTGGAAGGAGCAGCCAGCACTTTGCTTTACATAAGCCCGAGACAAAGCCACCTCGATATTTTCAGCTGGCAATCGAATGAAACAGAGAGTTGGTGATGGCACAGGATATTTTAATGTGAAGGATTTATATAAGCCATTTCGATTCTTCAAAAGGCCCCCATGACATCTGTTCCACTTTCGATCTGGAAGCATTGGGTTTCCTCGCACAGGTGACGGGAAGTGTGTTCATGTAGACCCTTGTTTACGCTCTTTGGAGCCTGGAGCTGTAGTCCGCACCAGATAATCTTGTCGGTGCCTAAGAAGGGAGGCTTACATTTGTTCAGAACACTCTTCTGTCATTTTAGTAAGTCCTGGTGGAGGACAGTCATCTTGCAGCTTGGACTATGACAGTTGCAACACCCTACTTAACAGAGTGAACATGTGTCTTGTCAAACCACTTACGTAGCCTGCAGATTTGGTCATTAAGACCACTCAGAAAGCCCGATGAGGCTTTCATGCAGTTCATGGTAAAGTACATGCTCAATGAGGAAGACAAGCCAGCCAGGCAGAAGTTGGTAGCGCTTTCTTCAGCTAGGGACTGGACATGGCTCGTCTTTTCCAGTGTTGGGGTGAGAGCCGGGTTTGCATGTATAACTCAGGCTCCCTGCCTCCTCCTTCAAAGGGATTTTACAACTGACTGTAACAGAGCTAACAGCCTCCACTGGCAGCTTGTGTAGAGTGGGAATTGGGTATGGTGCCTGTGTGATTTATCACCCCAAATAGGATGAAGAAAGAAAGGGGGTTACTAGTCAGGGAGACCAGAACAGCAAGAGTAAGGCAGGACTGTCTTGGTCAGAAAAGAACATGTGGTCATCGGGGGTCAGTACTGCACTGGAAGGAAGGATTTGTGTGTGTACACCTCCCCTTGAGAGGGATGCTATAGCCTAAAGTCAGAACGTAGCTGGCAGGCTGGTAGAGGGTCTTTCTCTGTCTCTGTCTGCCTCTCTCTGTCTCTTGGTCTCATGTGTGTGTGTCTCCCTCTCGTGTGTGTGTGTGTGTGTGTGTATGTGTGTGTGTGTGTGTGAAAGAGAGAGAGAGAGAGAGAGAGAGAGAGAGAGAGAGAGAGAGAGAGCTATGTTGCCCACTTAGAGATTTATTTGTTTCTGCCCAGAGATATAACCTGCTCTTTGTGGCCAGAACCCCAGTGTGTCTGCTATTCAGCCTGAGTGGTTTCACCTTTTCTACACATTCCACCCCAGGCTTCTCCCATGCACCCCATGCCTAGGAATCAGCTTTTCCAGTCAGTCTTCCTTAACCCTTTGCCCAAGAGCTCTCTCTCTACATTGTGTAATATTGCAGGTAGAAAGCTCCATCTCTGCTCTGAGTTCAATTCCAGGCATATGAAGAGGGACTTCCTGATTCCTATTGGCCTCTTTAGAGGGAACCTTGGTTCTACACTGAGGTAGATGATCTGTCTCTCTCTCATTTCCTATTTCATGCCTGATGTCTTGTCCCTTAGACATCACAACTTTGAGACAAGGGGCTTAGGTCATATTGAGTGGGCGGCAGCTCAGAAGATAGAGCTTATACCCAGGAGCAGCCTATCAGCCAAATGCCACTTCTGGGCACAGGATGCTGTCTTAAATCTGCTTGAAGATGAACATGGGCGCAGATAGAGGCATAGTTTCTATTCTAAAGAAACCTTTCTGTTTTTGAGACAGGATCTCACTATACAGCCCTGGTGGGGCTGAAATTAGCCACGTGAATTAGGCTGGCCTTGAACTCATAGAGATTCACTAGCCTTTGCCTAGTGCAGGGATTAAAGGCGTATGCCACCATGCCCAACTTTTACAAAGCTTTAAATGTGTTCTAGATACAAAAAGATATATCAAAAAATATGGACGCTAGAGACAGACTTGCCAGGGTTCAATCCCAGCTCTGCCTCTCACCGGCTAAGACCCGGCCCTTGTTGTGTGTAAGTTCACCACCTGTAAGTAGGCTAATAATGATTTCTGCCTTGTAGTGAGTTGTGGAGGTGGAGTTCAAGCATATAAATCAGACTGAGGATGCAGCTTGGAGCAGAGTAGTTATGCCGTCTAATAAAAGATACTTAGCTACAAATGAGGGCTATTGTTTGTGTTAGCAGGATTGTTCTATAAAAAGCCCGCTATTTAATTAGCTGCAATACACAGTAATACAGTGAAAAAAATAAGGTAATGGAAATGAGATCCTCAGCGCTGAGCTCAGAATGTTTCAGAATATGACTTATCAGAGTGCCTGGAGAAATATTTATATAAGTAAATGCTCAGGCATAATTAAAGACTGCTTTCTGTATGCAATGGAGGCGGGCCGAACTTTTAAAGTCTAGTGTGCAGAAGCAAGTCATGGTGGCACATACCTGTGCACCTACTACTCAGGAGGCTGGAGTCAGAAGCGCTCCAAGTTCAAGACCAGCCTGAGCTATGTAGTGAGACACTGGCTGAATGAATGAATGAATGAATGAATCAGCCAAAAAAGCTTACGTGCCCCCTGGTGTTGAGAACTCCTCCTCCTTAATCTTATATCTATGTCCTTTTCCATTTCCTTGAATATTTTTTTTTTCAAGACAGGGTTTCTCGGTAGCTAAGAAGGAGCCAGTCCTGGAACTCATTCTGTAGACCAGGCTGGCCTTGAACTCACAGAGATCTGCCTACCTCTGCCTCCCAAATGCTGGAATTAAAGGCGCCTACCACCACCTGCTGGCTCTTTGAACATTTAAAATATTAAGTTACTTTGCACTAATTTTACAGCTACAGAGTGACGAGAGTTGTATAAAGAACTTTGTATTCTTTTACCAGACTCGGTAGTATACCATGTATCAGTTTTGCTGTGTAGGGGACTGTGTCTTTGAAAAACCTGTAGACAAGAACCCTCCAGCCCTTGGGCAGGCACTCTGCTGACCTCAAAGGAGCCACATTGTAACACTCCAGAGATCCACCCAGGGCCAACCCTACCTCCATTGCACCCACCCTGCCAGCTTTAGCTATTGTCTCAACAATATCCTTTTGCTTTCTGGTCTACCTTCATTCCAGGAAGACTTCTCGCATCTGGGTGTCTAATCCCTGCAATGTCCTTCATCCTGGCACAGCAATGCTTCAGTCTCTCCCTGTAATTCACACCCTGGCCAGTTTTAGAGATCAGTACTTTCATTCTGTTGGGTTAGTATGCTCTACTTTAATTACAGACTATTCCTGACACCGTGTGTGTGTGTGTGTGTGTGTGTGTGTGTGTGTGTGTGAGAGAGAGAGAGAGAGAGAGAGAGAGAGAGAGAGAGAGAGAGAATGTGTAAGACTGTGAGTGTGTGCCCATATTTCAATTCTTCAGACGGAAATGGACAATTCAGTTTGACAGCTACCTGGAGTCAGCATCAGATCCCACAGGTTGAGAGCTCAGTCTCCCAAAATGCTTTCATTGAAGGTGCCAATCCCAATTCTTGGCTCTCCCATGGACCAACTCTAAGTCTGGGTTTCTTTGACCTCTTGGTTGGGCCTGATAACGTGCGAGAAAGTCTCACAGGCCTCAGGGATAGTGTGCTGGATAGTTTTTTGTCAACTTGACACATACTAATGTCACATGAGGGCAGGGGACCTCAATTAAGAGAATGTCTCCCTAATACTGAGCTGTAGGCAAGCCTGTGGGGTATTTTCTTAATTAGTGATTGATGGGGGATGGCCCAGCCTATTGTGGGTTGTGCTGTCCTTGGGATGGTGGTCCTGGGCAAGCCAGAGGACTCAGTTGGCTTCACTCCCTTATGACTTCCTTAGAAGTGTAAGCCAAATTAACCCTTTCCTTCTCAATTTGCTTTTGGTCCTGGTGTTTCATCACAGCAATAGAAACCCTAAGACAATAGTTTACTTAATGTGTGTTTATACAAATACACACATGTCCCTGCTAAAGAGTGACCCTCTAGCATGTTCAACACACACTTCACCACTGAGCTAAATCTGAAGCCTTCTTAGTATCTTGTTTTGTTTTCCCAGGTAGGGTCTCTTTGTGTAGCCCTGGCTATCCTAGAACACACTCTATAGACCAGGCTGGCCTTGAACTCACAGAGATCCACCTGCCTCTGTCATCTTAATATCATTTTAATGCTTACTTATCCCAGATTTGACCAGAGGAAGCTTGTGAAGATGGGAGTGGTCTGCTTTTAAAGGCCTATATCATTTCTTCAGACATTAAGAAGACATTAAGACTTACCTTGCTCTTTCCTGTCCCAGAAGTCTCTTTACTTTAGGCACTGTAGGCCAGCAGGATGGTGCTGAGAAACCAAGGCTCAGGTAGCATCCCTCCCTCACCTATTCACAATGCACAGATGTATTATTCTGTATATAATGCGTGCATTTATGCATGTGTCTCTATTTATATAGGTGTGTCTGAATTAATTACTGTTGGTCTCCAACTGCAGTCAGCATTTCCATGGTCTGTTCTTTCTAGTGGGTCACTTTTCTAATCTGGATTCCATTAGCCTCTGGTTGTAGATTCCATTATCGTCGATATATTTATATTTTTTGCTCAATTTTCTATTTTTTTCCCATGTAAGTAGTCTAGTCACGGTGGTCACCTTCTCTGAATAACTCCCTTGCTGCCTTCTTTTTTTTTTTTAATATTTATTTATTTATTTATTATGTATACAACATTCTGCCTCGATGTATGCCCACACGCCAGAGGAGGGCGCCAGATCTCAGTACAGATNCACACGCCAGAGGAGGGCGCCAGATCTCAGTACAGATGGTTGTGAGCCACCATGTGGTTGCTGGGAATTGAACTCAGGACCTCTGGAAGAGCAGCCAGTGCTCTTAACCTCTGAGCCATCTCTCCAGCCCCCCTTGCTGCCTTCTTGACCTCCGCATGTGCCAGCACTTCCTGTGGTCCTCCCCTCCCCTCCCCTAGAGCCCCTCCTGTCATGACTCCAGAGCATATACCTCCCCCAGATACCCTGCTCTAATCTCTCAACCCCCAGGCACTCAGAACCTTCCTGCATCCTTGCTGTTCCCGTCTTTTGCTCATATACCTGTGTTCCTGCTCCCTCTGTCCACTTAACATACAGTGGACATGGATACCCAGGGGAGAAAAGCCTTCCAATTCCTAGAAGTGCTAATGCTTCACCAGGACTTTAATTCTTTGTGTCTTAATGTCTATTTTGCCTTATAAGATAGCTTCTAGACCTACAATTAGCACGTGCAGGGTTAAATGCTGCTATCAGAAGGCCCAACGAGACGAGGGACTGTGTGTTAAATGGCTTCAATTAAGTGTGTGGATCAAGTAGCACGTTCTAGAAGACTGGATGTTAAACATCTCTGTAATAGTTTGTTAATTAACTGGAAAACATTCTTATTCCCAATAGGAGCTGTATACTCTAGCTGGGTTCACGTGAAGTGTAAATTGCATATTCTATAACTACTTAATAAGCCTTCTTTACCTTTGACACATGCTAATGGGAGCTAACTGCCATCTTGGCAAGGAATGTGATTTCACCCCCACATCCTACCTTTAAAACACTGACCTCCCAGGCAAGGGGAATGGTGGTGTGTCGTGAGTTACCTGCTAACCTGTTGATTTCTTTCTATGTAAAAGAAACCAGTCAATGAAACGAAATGGCAGCAGGCAGACATGGGGGAGCCAAACTCTGACTGTAAAAACTGGAAGGTGCTAATTAAGGTAAACTCATCCGTGTTCATAAAACCCAATAGCAGTGTGTTCTACTTTTAGGGGTGCGTGACTTAGTGTGTCTTTCCAGTCCCTTCCTTCTAGGAATAGAGCCATCCTGGCTTTACTATCGTTTATCTTCATTTTATCCAAAGGAATTTCCTGCTGTCCTTCCTGTCAGGCACCTGTGAGGACGGTTTCATGGGCACTAGCCGCCGTCCATCGTAACTCATGAGCCCAGACGTGATTTATGGAAGATAATTATTGATCTTGGAACTTCCTCCCTGAAAAGCTTCTTGGCTTTCTTTATAGATGAGGAAAAGGAAACACTGGAAACAGAATTCCTATTTTCAATTTCTATTCAGTTCTAGTAAGTGACCAGGAGGGAAGAAAGGTGGCCTTAGTGATGAAATTGCTCCCCCTGGTGTCTGTTTTCAGGCATTGCAGGAGATGTTTGCCTGGGTAGCTAAGGCCTCTTTCCAACAGCCGATTCTTTTGATTGGTGGACCGAGGCCCTGACACACAGGTCGACAGAGCTAATATATGCAAATGAATGGATGGGATTTACACAGGTCACAGAGCTAATATATGCAAATGATGGATGGGATTTGCCTAAATGGAGAGTAAAAAAGCCGAATCTGAGCACCTTTTGATACTTGATCATAAAATACCTTATGATTTGAAAGGGGATCCTCCATCTGTGCTCCTGGTAGCCAGGTTCCGCTAAGCTGGGTGTGGTGAGCCACGCTGCAGTCTCAGCTCTTAGGGGGCAGAGCAGGCCTGGTTCACGTAGGCTGCTTGAGGACAGCCAGGTTTACATCGGGAGACCTTGTCTCAAAACAAATCAACAACACTTCTAAATCTTCAAAATGTAGCATGGCTAGATTTAATTTGATTTTATTTTTAGGTTTTTGAGACAGGATTTCTCTGTGTATCTCTGGTTGTCCTGGAAGTGAATCTGTAGATCAAGACTGGTCCCGAACTCATAAAGATTCACGTACCTCTTGTCCTTACACTTACACAACAAATGTTTAACCACTGAGCCTGTTCTCTGGCCTTATGTTGTTATTTTTAGCATGTATTTTTAACATTTTTGCTTTTAGAATCATTTTAATTAATGTCCTTCAGTAAGATTTTATAATTTTCTCAATAGCTTCTCTTTGGCTAGTACCATTGCCAGGTTAACTTCTTTTGTTGCTATTGAAAACAGCATCTTCTTATATTGATTTATTTTGTGATACTGTTGTCACGGGGGGGGGGGGGGGGGGGAGGGGAGCAGGGCCAAATTTAATCCAGACTAGGCTTGAACTCAGTGTGTAGCCAAGGGTGGCCGCCAGCTTCTGACCCACCTGCTTCTGTCTGCTGACTTGCTGGGATTGCAGGCATTTGAACCCAGAGTTTCATGCATTCGGGGCAAAAAAATCTCCTAACTGAGCTACACTGACCCACTCGTTTTGTTTTGTTTTGAGATTGGGTCTCATCAGGTTGCCCAGGCTGGCACTGGACTTGCTCTGTAGTCCAGGCAGGTTCTGAACTTTATTTTTGTACAAATTTTTATTTATTTATGTGTATTCATGGTTTTTTACTTTAATTTATGTTTTTAATTTTATTTTAAATTTCATCTACAGTTCTTCCTCCCACTCCTCCTCCCCTTTCCTCCTCTCCCCCAGCTCCCCCCCCCCCATCCACTCCTCCCAACTGGTAAGGGCTTCCATGGGAAGGCAACAAAGTCTGGCACATTAAGTTGGGACAGGACCAAGCTTGACATCCCACCATAGGGAATGGGGTCCAATAAGTCAGCTCATGCACCAGGGATAGATCCTGGTCCTACTGCCAGGGGCCTCAGATAGTCCAAGCTTCACCATGGTCCCCCACATATAGGAGGCCTAGTTCAGTCCCATGGAGGGTCCACAGCTGTCAGTCTAGCGTTCCTGAGTTTCCACAAGCTTAGCTCAGCTGTCTCTGTAGATTTTTCCCATCGTGATCTTGACCTCCTGTGTGTGCAAGGTTGTGGCTGTGTGACATGGCATGTATGTGAAGGTCAGAGGGTCCTGGAGATTGTGTCCTCAGGCTTGGCAGAAAGTAGCTCTGCTCAGCAAGCCGTCTTACCCTCTCAGTCTTTGGCCTTCCTATGCTCCTGACTCAGTCCTGACGTCAGCACAGATGAAAGGACAGCCTGGTGTCACTAGGCCTTGATGAGAATAATGGTTTTGAAAAAAAGGTTTTGAATTGTTCCGTGCTGTTGCATAGACAGGAAGTTTATTGCTCTTGTAAAACTGAGTTGTAATTTAAATTTTTTTTAAATTTTATTATTTTATGCTTGGCTACATGCTGACTAGTTTTATGTCAACTTGACACAAGCTATAATTACTTGTGTGGTGCTACTTTGTTTGTGCTATAACAAATAAAGCTTGCCAGAAGATCAGAGTGCAGAGCCAAGCCACTAGTTAGCCACAGAGGTCAGGCAATGGTGGTACACACCTTTAATCCTAGCACTTGGGAGACAGAGGCAGATAGATCTCTGTGAGTTCGAGGCCACCCTGGGCTACTGAGATAGATCCAGTCTAAAAAAGGAATGGAGCCCCGCTGTGGTGGCTCACACCTTTAATCCCAGTATGAAGGAGGTGGAGACAGGAAGGGATGTGGCTGGGCAGAGAGAGGAATATAAAGCCCGAGGAGATAGGAGCTCAGGGCATTCAGTTTGAGGATTCCTAGGGACAGGATCGCCCCTTTGGTCTAGAGTTATGTAGATGTAAGAACTAGTGACTGGCTGCTCTGCTTCTCTGATCTTCCAGGAAAGCTTTATTTGTTAAAGCACAAACAAAATATCGCCACACATCTGAGAGGGGAGAATCTCAGTTGAGAAAATGTCTCCTTAAGATCAGGCTGTAGGCAGGCCTGTAGGGCATTGTCTTAATGATCGGTAGGGGAGGGCCCAGCCCATTGTGAGTGGTGCCATCCCTGGGCTGGTGGACCTGGGATTGATAAGAAAGAAGACAAACCATGAGGAGCAAGCCAGGAAGCAGCACCCCTCCATGGCCTCTGCATCAGCTCCTTAGGTTTCTGCCTCTTTGGGTTCCTGTCCTGACTTCCCTCAGCAAGGAACTGTTATCTGTAAGTGCAGACTGGGAGAAGCCCTTTCTTTCTTAAGTTGTTTTTGATCCTAGTGTGTTATCAAAGTAATTGATAAAAAAAAGTTTATCACTTAATTAAGGTAGCCTGCATGGGTATATTTGCACCGTATGTGTTCTTGATGCAGAGGCCAGAAGAAGGCATGGGATTCCCTGGAACGGGATTTACAGGCAATTGTGAGCCTCCGTGTAGGCGCTGGGAATTGAACCCAGGTCCCCTGGAAGAGAGCCAGTGCCCTTAGCTGCCAAGCCATCTCTCTGGCCCCTGTAATTGTAATTTTTTCTCTAGATTATTTTGTAATCTAGTTCTGCACCTTGAGTTTCTGTTTCTCTTTGTTGCATTGCACTGGCTAAGACCTCTTTGGTACAGTATTGAATAGAAATGAGAGCTGTGAGTTCCTTGGTTCTTTTTTTTTGTTTTTCGAGACAGGGTTTCTCTGTGTAACAGTCTTGGCTGTCCTGGAACTCACTTTGTAGACCAGGCAGGCCTCAAACTCACTGAGATCCACCTGCCTCTGCTTCCTGAGTGCTGGGTTTAAAGGCGTGTGCCACCACCGTCCAGCCTCAAGTGTAATAAAAATTTTTAAGAGTTATTTTTATTTTTAATTATGAGCATGGGGTGAAGTGGCTGTGTATGTGGAACCCATGGAGGCCACAGACTTTGGCTCTGGAATTACTGATAGTTGGGACATGGGTGCTGGGAGTCAAACTCGGGCCCTCTGGAAGAACAGATCCTATTCATAATCACCGAGCCATCTCTCCAGCCCCAAATGTGACTCAGGGCAACACGATTTAATGAGAAGACAGGATGGTTATCGTTAATGCTGGCTCTACACGGCAACCCAGTGTTTTGTAGTTAATTAGACTAGAACACAGGGTGATTCAGTATCTCAATCACTGAAAGGGAATTGACTTCCCTTTCAGAGTCAATATGATATAACATAGACCAGAATTAGTGCAGAACAGTCCACCTGGAAAAGTCTTAAGAAAAAGGCTATTTCTCAGAAATTTCAGTAATACCTAGGAACAGAACTAATGGCTGTAAATATTGCTTCCACTGGAAAATAATGATTTGATAATTTATTAATTAATGGAAGGTCTAAAGAAATGTTTTGAGTTCAGTCAGAAAGCTTTCCCCAGCATGGTTGAGGCTATGGCTTCTATCCTTAGTGCCATAGAAGCAAACAAACAAACAAAAAAACACCTAACCAGTCCTTTATTGATTGTGTCAGGGCAAACCATTTAATGTCTTGAGTTTCTATTTCTTCATCTAAAAAATAGTGTCCATAATTATTTCCTGGGATCTTAGAAGGAGTAAGGGAATTGAGGTACACTGAATACCAAAGATAATAGTTGTTCAGAACATACTGTTCCCAGCTGCCTAATGGAGCCGCCCTGTCACGCTGTCTGTTACAATGACACTGAGCGAGGACCAGGCTGGACAGCTGGGGCTGCCTCCTGGCCCCATCCCCTCGCCATCTCTGTAGCCAGAGCGCTGCTGACATGCTCTCTGCTTCTGTCCCTTGTCTGTGGACAAGCTTAAGAGACGCCCCTTCCTCACAGGCTGGCTTCGAGATGGAGCTTATTTCTGTAGCTAGTGTTACAGAGAGAATGTGTGGCTTACTGTATCGGCCGGACGCTCTTGTATTTATCACAACAGCCATGGCCAGCCCTGGGCTCCTAGAAGTCAATTCTCTGACTTGAATTTAGTGGAATAGTGAAGAAACAAAAGAGACTTTCACATTCCTCCTTTTCTGCACCCCTTTTATGCTTGTTTCTTTAAATCTCCAGCAAGATCGGTGGCCTACACTTTTAATTGCAGCACTTCAGAAACAGAGTTCTAGGCCAGCCTGGAACTCATAGAGCAAGTCCCAGAACAAC